CATAAGTATGAGATGGTAAAGTTCTAGGAGTTATAAGTTTGTCTTTCATCCCAAGGTTGCCATGATCTGTGGACCACCTATTCCATTCAAGCGTGTCCCAGTACATGATCAGATTATTGCGCTGGTATGAATTGTATGTTAAGAACTGAGGTATCAAGTAAGTCATATTCCACAAGAAGATTTAGAATAGAGTTCATTACTGCTAAAACTAACTTCTTAACCACCATTTCTCAATTTATTCGACAACCGGTTTGGTTGTTTCAAGCATTGTGGAGTTTATTGATTGGAGGAATTTGGTTGGCTGCATCATTGTTCATCTCACTGGGGGGGGGGGGGGGGGGTTGAGAATCTACTGCCTCCACCCTTGATCGGTTAGACTTCAACTTTTTAGCTTCATTGTTGTCTTAGCATTAAACTTCCGGTGGCTAAGTCTTTATTTCCTAAGTTGTGTGATACACCTAATGAAGTTCCCTTGCATTTCTAGAATTTGTTAATGTACAAACTACATTGTTGATGATTTTAGTGTCATCAAGTATTTTGGTGTAGTTTTGACTTAAAAAAGATCGATGGCGGTATTGGGGTTTATTGGTTAAGCTATAGTATGAGTTAGGAGATGTGACKTGCACTCTCGTATAAGCTGTCGTGGACATAAGATCACCAAAAAGCGGGGTCAAGGGGCCGTGCCCCCCTGCAGGGTTCCAAGGGGCAGTGGTCCTCCTGACCATTCAGCGGGTGGTGTGTGTGGCAGCATTGCGTCTAGAAACAGTATGCCCCAAGTCCTTTTCAAAGGTAGGTTGCTTTCTGAAGTTTATTCAGAAAGCGTGTAGCCTTCTGAGTTATTATTCTGAAGGCAACCTTCTGAATTTTCAGTTGAGATTGCGTTGACCAGAATTCAGAAGACAAGTCTTCTGAACTTTGGTCAACAAAACTTTTGTGCGTATTTGGATTATCCCCTAGTAAATTGCTTGATACCCATAGGCCGCAATAGGATCGAAATATGCCCTAAAGACTATGATTTTGTTTACACACTCCAAGTCCTCTACATCGATAACTCTACCTTGTACCCGGATTCTAACATACATCATTCAAGTTGTACTTGATCAATGGAGTGTGGGCACCTTCTGTCATGTTGGTGGGAAAAGCATGGTAGTACTAGTGCTAAAAAGACAAACCAACCTAAGAAAGAAAGGCAAGGAGGGCACTTTTTGTCCGACGCTCTTGCAGGCTCAAGTTAATAATTACCTCATCATCTGAATAGATGTGTGGATGTCTCAGTCTTTCGTATATGGCTATAATGATGCTTTGCATTCTTTTACTTGATCAAATGCTTTTTCTAGGTGCTTGTCTGTTTGTATAGTAGTCTTGATAGAGGAGGAGTAAAAATGTTTCCCTTTGTCTATATGGACGAACTTTGTTAATTTGTGCTTATCATTGATTCGTCAAAACGTTAAGACCGAACATAGAATGGCGGATAACTAATAAAGATGTACTGCTTCATCTAAGTTTTACTCTTTTTTGTTTAAAAAAAAGTGGGCATACGCCCTCAGAATAGTGAGTTTACTTATTGATTGTGAGCATCTTATCCTCAATCTCTCTTGGTGTTACCATACTCTTGGCTTTCTTTGAGTATGCCTTTCTTTCACACGTGTTGTGATGTTAGGTTAATCATGAAGCAGTCAAGCCCAATCCTCTCATTTTATACGCCCGGGGCGTAGTAAAAAAGGGGCCTCAATAAGTATGATAAAAATAAAAACAAATACTTTTCATTATCAAAAATAAAATTACATACAAAAACACTAGAAATACTATTCATGTTATATGTCAACACATAGCAATTACATTCATATGGACATAGTTCATGAGCCAACGTATAACATATGCTAATTCATATATTTTATTTTTAATGCATCAATAATAACTGATGGATATGAATATGTATATATGGAGCAACTACAAATGCATATGAATATGGATATGAATATAAACCTACTAACGGCGAATGCAATATAAACTCTATAGTAACATGTAAATAGTAGAAATAAATATATGATATGAAGTATAATGTATACTTTGTTATGTTATTTATGCTCGGGTAATGTGTGACAACATATATCATAAACATACAAATCAAAGGAATTTGACTTTGAAGAAATTCGAATGGAATTTGACCATGCGTTTGATCCGTAGGAATTGGAATGGAATCTCTGAAAAAATTTGGAATCTCCATTTTTGTTTGGAGGGGAGGGTGGGGGTAGTAGCTGTGACGATGACAATAGTGGCATGGTGATGGGGATGGCAGCTGTGACGAAGACATTACTGGCATGGTGATATTGGTGGTCGGAGGTGGGGTGGGTGGGGGTGGCAGCTCTGATGACGATAGTAGTGGTGGTGGGTGGGTGTTATGGTCGGGGGCGTGACAGTGTCGTGGTGGAGGCGGGGTGGTGGATTGTATGGAATTCAATTCCATTCCATAGGTAAACCAAAGGGCTGAACATAATTTGGTCAATGAAATTGGTCATTCCAATTCCTTCAGAATCCTGCTAACCAAACGCTCCCTAAGTTGTGGAATTCAAAGGATTCCATCCATATCAAGAGGTGAACCAAAAAAAAGGAATTGATCATTCCAATTCCCTTGAAATCCATGAATTCCGTGAACCAATCAACAACTTAATGATTCGTGAACTAATGAAACTTCTAATAGGATTTGTAATTAAAAGCTTAAGGTTAAAATATATTTAATTACTCTTTTATATATTTTTCAGTAAATATTACTATATAAAAACTTGGGGCACTTATATTGGTCGGGCCCTCGACAAGTGTCCCCGTCCTACTCTTGCCCAGGAACCACCCTAGAAGAAGTACTCTCTTTCATTGGTCAAAGGTTTTTTTTTATCTGCGTAGATTGTTCTTCCATGTATAGTTAAAAGATATATGTCGAGCTTTCATATCCGCATAGAAATTAGAGGAATGCGGTAAAACAATAATCATCAAACGCGATCTCCTGCTGCTTAGTTCTTTCATTCTTTTCTTCTTCGTCCCTTTTGTTTGTTTTGGTTGCAAGAGTGATAGTTGTTTGACTTCTGTCACACTCAGAGAAGCTTGTGGCAGTATGGACATACATTGAAGCTAAGAATTTTACTGCCACACAACATGATTGTAGCAATCATACAACGATTTCAGATTTCAAATACACATCACCTCCTGTTCACGGGTTTCCTTCTATTAACATGACCAGAAATACACATAATTGATGTACACTCTTTAATTTTAATCTTCCTCGAATCATGCAGTAGGGTAGGAGGCTTGCATAGCAATGCCACAAAGGCCTTCTTTCGCATCAACATCTCTTTGCATCATTATGTACCCTTCTTCACCCCAACTTGTTCCCCAAGAGTTCTTCACCAG